AAAGCCGGTAGCAGCTGAAGTGCGTTTTCTTCTGGTCGATGTAAATACGTTCGTGTCTCTGTCCAATCAGAACCCTTCCCCACATCCGGACGTTGACCGGAATTAAATAAAGGCGATTTAACTTGTCTTCAATGTAAACCTCGATTCGGAATTATTATTTTCCATGTAAACTCAAAGGAGAATATTTTAATTCCAAATATTTAATTTGGAATTAAAAAACATAATGTAAACGTGGCAAGTGAAACATCCCACAGCTGAATGATTATCAAACATCACCATGAAATATTAAACATTTCCTTAAAGTCTTTTTAAATTACCTTTTTGATATGCCATTACAAACCAGAACCAGCGCTAAGTCACTCCCCCTTCAGAGCACTTTCACAACACAACTAGATTCAACACATAATATAACACTCTATATAACATCAATTTATATCAGTTTATCAAATTATAGTGAAGCGTTGAATAGTCTAAACGTAAGAAGGGTTTGTAGGGCCCAGGAGAGATCGCTAGATTACTCAAACATGCGTGAATGACATCTAAAACCTCTCGATGGAGATTGCAACATGGTATAAAGTTCAGAAAAAGTCAATTCTGCTTAATCCCCCCTCTTTAATTAACCTTTTTGATGGGGTTTTGCCGTCTGCTCGTCTCCTTGGAGCAAATTCTCAAGTGAAATATCAATAAAATATAACGTCAAATCAAAAATATGTTGACACTTTGTTGATTACGGCTCTGTCTCTTACGTGTATTTCCCTATATTCTTGCGTGGTCCGACGTAGCTGTGGTAGTGGCTGGTTCCGATTGACTTTGCGGCTTGTCTGCACGTGTTCGCTCGTTTGTGTGTCGATCAATAGCTTTGATTTTGCTGCATGTCTCATTATTCTGATGTATAGATGAACCAATCTCCTTTCGCTCCAGATACAGGTGAACTTTAGACTCTGCTCTCAAGCATCGGTTAGAAATGACCTACCTATACTTCGCCATTTTACGATCTACGTTATTATGTTGTTTCCTCGTCACAAACAGACCTGGAGTTGTGTTTTGCTTCATTCATTTCTTGTTTAACACACAAATCCTGTATATTTAGGCTGTAAATTCAATGAAAGTTTTGTAAAAGTCATGGAATTTTAAGTATCTCTTTCATGCAACTGCTGCGTTCTGTTAATCATAATAGCCTAAAGATAACTTATTTCCAAACGTCTGCGCCTTTTTTTTTTAAAAAGACGTCAATAAACACACTGACAGTATTTTGAATGTAAAAAAAC